CAGCATAGAAACGGTGATACAGGCAGTTACTGCAGCGACCGACAGTCTGAACGGGGAGGAAGGTCAGCAGCTGGTCTGTTTATGTTATAATTCGGTTTATTTCTATAGCATAATTCACCACAAAAACAAAAAAAAAAAAAATAATAAAAAAAAATAAATAAACATTTCAATTCAATTCTAACTGATCCTCATTAGTTTGGCTAATTAATTATTCCGAGTAGATTAAAAAGCAAACCCAGCAGATTGCATTGACATTATTATTAGTATTGAGTTTAACAGAAGCTGTAAAATCTGACAGCAGGTCGAGAATAAAGCAGCTCTGCTTTTCCTGCTGCTCTGTTGACAGACCATAATAATCTCGCAGGCTTCCAGCCTGTTTTCACGCCCTGCACGCAACAACAGCAGGTTCGATTAGACCAGGTGTGCTGCGACCGCCAGTTCCAGCTAGCCAATCAGCTGGGACTATGGGAGGAGGCCCCGCCCATTTCGACTGGCGATACAGGAGAAGTTTGATGGAGGAAGAAGGAAGTCATGAAGCTGATAACGACCCTCCTGTCTTCACTTCCTGCTGAAGGAAGGCAGTTAAACTGGACCTTCTTCTCCCTCCAGAACCGACAGAGTTCTCCCAGCACCTGTTTCACCAGGTGAGCCGGAAGTCCAGCAGGAACTCCGAACATAACCAGAACTACCAGCCGAACCTCTGTGAAGACAACAGGTGATGAAACCTGCCCACAGGGACCTGCTTAATGTCACCATGGAAACATCTGGAACCAATCAGGTCTCAGTGCCAGAACCATCCCATTATCCCGTCCCAGTAAATGTTAGCAGGTGTCACAACTTCGAAACCTTTAAAAGAACCAGAACCCGTTTCCATAACAGCCAGAATAAATGATACTTACAGATTGAATAAAAGTGGACGGCACCAGCCGGTCCGGACCGGAACCGAACTCACAGCGGCTCCCAGCAGTAAAAATGGTTAAAAAAAAAAAAAAAAAGGCTGAACTGGGGGGGAATGGCCCAGACCGGACCTCCGAACCGAGCTGCTCTCCCTGACTGAGCTGAGTTCGGTATTTCACCGGAAGCGCTCTTTTAAGTTTCGTTTCTGTCATTTGACGGCACGCGCGCAGTCACCTTGGAAACGGGGAGCTTATCCCGGAAGAAGCGCACGGAGTGATGCGCGGCTATGGCAAGTGGTTATAGCATTTAATCAGAAAGGCAAACTCTCCTTTCACTTTTCAGGGAGCAGTAATTTGATTCCTCCTCGTCAACACAATGTTCCAACCAGCAGAAAATGAAATTTAAAATCTCAACAAGTGCATTATTACTAGAGGTAACTACCAGTCTGTCGCAGTGCAGCATAGAGACAAACAACCATGCACACACACACACACACACCTAGGGAAAATTTGGGGAGACCAATTAACCTGACAAAGGCATAGATCCCATCTCATTACTGGGGGGAACCATAATTTCTTAAGACCAATTTTTTTGGGGGGAGGCGGGGAGTCGGCAAAGTTACAGTGAAATGTAACGTAAAATGTTTAAAGAGTTTTTAAACCACATTCAAGCTGCAGGACCAAAAATGGCTAGTGATGCACATCAAACGTGTTTTTCTCAGTAAGCTTCCTATTGAGAAATTAAACTAAAACTCAAATGTTGCTTCTATACGAGTTTTGTTCATTCTGACTGATCTGATCTCTGCTACACCTTTGCAACATTCAGGGTGACCAGAGGTGAACCGGACTTGTCATTTCAGAGAGCAGGAAGACTGTCAGCAGAAGAGGTCGGTGGATATCAAGTGCCGGTTCCTGGATCTTGTTTTGGAAACTGACATTTCTGTAATTAAAATATTAATACATTTGGGGTGTGCTGTGGTGGCACAGGGGTTCAGCACAACCCACATATGGAGGCCTTAGTCCTTGACGCGGCTGTCGCAGGCTCGATTCCCGGCCTTGGCGACCTTTGATGCACATCTTCCCTCTTCTCTCATTACCCAATTAACTATCAAATAAAGGCCACTAGAGCCAAAAAAGTCTTTAATAAAAAATAATAAATTCATAAATATTTTTTTTCTTCCACATGTCTTTGCGACCAGGACTTTCATCAAGGGGTCCATCGCATGTGACTACCATGGAATATTCACTATTGCTGCCGAGGCTGGCGGCTTGCGGGGTCCCTGAAGGCGGGACAAGATGCATACATTTACTTTTTAAAGTCTGGGGACCATGGACTTCTGCATAAACTCTCAGGTCCACCTGTGTGACAGTCATCCACAGCTCGCCATGTTTGGCTGACCGATAAACCTTTCTGCCAAAAATCTCAACACCAAATGTCTGTTAGTGAAGTTCCCAGGCCTGGCAGACCCATTTCTCCTAATAAAAACAAGAGACATCAAGCTGGGAGAGATCTACATGGACCATGGGGTGAGGCAGCACTCGTTTAGGGTTGGAAGGCCAGGGGATGATCTTAGCTGGATGGGTGAGGTTGGCTCACCTCCCCCAAGAGAAACAATTTAGTCCTATGTTAATATTGTAGTCAGTTAAAATCTTTATTTTAATTTGTTTGACTGTGGTGTTATAGTAAAAAGTTCAGTGTTTGAAGTTTTAGTGTCATTTTCTGTACTCCAAAGTTCAGTATGACTTTAAATTGTATCTTTGCAATTAAAGTTTTTGTTTTGTGCTGCTGATAATTTTCTCCCCCATTTTTTCTTTCTGGTCCTGGATACAAGAC